AGTTCCTGTGGTATACCTAGGACCAGCATAGGGCCTAGCATATAGCAGGTACTCATGGGATGTTTGCTGCTTGAGTATGAATATGGTGTCCTGCCCCTGGAAGTTGGGGCTTCAACCTGTGTGGTGCCCGTCCTCTCCAGATATTGTTTGCCTGTGCTGAGGCCCTGCATGCGCACGGCTACAGCAGTGAGGCCTCCCGCCTCACTGTGGAGCTTGCCCAGGACCTGCTAGCCAACCCACCTGACCTCAAGGTAGAGCCGCCCCCTGCCAAGGTGAGAGACCCCCCATTGCCCTCTCCCCCCATTTATTGCTAACCCTCTTCTATGCCCCACCCCAAGTGAGAGCCTCCTCACTCCACCAAGATGAGTCAGACTCATATGTCTGCTTCCTTGTACTTCCCCTCTTTAGGGCAAGAAGAACAAGGTGTCTACGAGCCGTCAGACCTGGGTGGCTACCAACACCCTGACGAAGGCAGCCTTCCTGTTGACAGTGCTAAGTGAACGCCCAGAGCACCACAACCTGGCCTTCCGAGTTGGCATGTTTGCCTTGGAGCTACAGCGGCCCCCAGCTTCTACCAAGGCCTTGGAGGTCGGAGGTTCCATCAGCCTTGTACTGCAGTCTCCTCAGGGACTCCTCAGAGACTTACAGCTTGATCTCTACTGAAGTGTTAGGGGTCTGAGTTTCTTCCTGTATCCTTAGGTGAAGCTGGCATACCAGGAGTCTGAGGTGGCTGCCCTGCTCAAGAAGATTCCTCTGGGTCCAAGTGAGATGAGTACCATGCGGTGCCGGGCAGAGGAGCTTCGGGAGGGGACACTCTGTGACTATCGGCCCGTTTTGCCTCTCATGCTGGCCAGTTTCATCTTTGACGTTCTCTGTGCTCCAGGTATGGTGCGTGACTCTACTCGAGTGGGGATCTTGGGTAGGAGTAGTTTTCTCTAAGGAGAAACCAAGAGGCCCAAGGCTCTGAATTATCCTTAGGACCCATCAGGCAACTTCATGAGTGGTCTGGAATGATGAGGGTCTTGGGTTGCCTACATTTCATTCTTTCCAATGACACTTCTTTCTGCCTTATTCCACCTTTCATCCAGTGGTTTCTCCCACGGGTTCCCGGCCACCAAGTCGTAACTGGAACAACGAGATGCCTGGGGATGAGGAGCTGGGATTTGAAGCAGCAGTTGCTGCCTTAGGTGAGTCTGGAGTATCTTGAGCACTTCTGTGAGCTAGTTGGCCCAGGCCTTGAAGGGCATGAGACATGGTCCCTGTTTGAAGGGGTGGTATGGTAGTGGGACAGCCAGAATGTGACATGTTTGAACCAGGTAGTACAGTCAAGAATTTAGGGACAAAAGGTGTGCTATGGCACACAAAATGTAAGAAAAGGATTCAGGAAGGGTATAGAATACGGAATGTAGGTCAAAAGATCAGTTAAGTTTTTGGTAAGGGGACAAAACACCATGAATAAAGACAGGGACCATCAAGTAAGTCTTAATGAGGGCAAGGAGTCAAACTTCCTTGAAGTGATGGGTATGCCATGAAGGTAGAGTGGGCCAATTATGAAGGTCTTAAAAAGCAGATCAGAGCTAAGGCCGGATGTAATAGGCAATTGGGACCTTCCACGGGGGATGTGGGTTGGACCAGGAGAACTCCTTATCTCACATATGCTGGTGGCTGGGCAGCCCTGGCCTGTTCACTTTGGCTGTCTTGGGAGTTATGGCCATTCTCAGTCCCTATGAGACCCTTCTTCTCACAGGTATGAAGACAACAGTGAGCGAGGCAGAGCATCCCCTCCTGTGTGAAGGCACACGTCGGGAGAAGGGTGACCTGGCACTGGCACTAATGATCACTTACAAGGATGATCAAGCCAAGCTCAAAAAGGTAGGGACTGAAGTACTAGGATTTTGACAGGCAGAGAGCAAAATTTTACCCTTTCTCGGAGGATTGCAGTCCAATGAGGAAAGGGCTATACTGCCCATAGGGGATAAGTGGAAAATCTTGGGGACACTTGATAAAGAATAAGACCAATGGTTCTCGTAGGAGTGCTTGGGCAGGGGATGAAAGAAAAGAAGCAGTTACTCATTTATTTCAATATTTACTGAATATCAGTGTAGTCAGTCCTGTGTTAAGTGTTAGGATATCAAGATATGTAAGCCGGTGCCTATCATCCAGGAGGTTCTCCTATGGTTGTGACTGGGGAAGGCTTCCCGAAGAGGCAGTATTAAGCTGTTTCAAAGAGAAAGTAAGGTAATAGAAATAGAAGTCAGGATATAAAGGGCATCCTGTCACTGCTTCTCTCTTCTTCAGATCTTAGACAAACTCTTGGACCGAGAGAGCCAGACGCATAAGCCCCAGACACTGAGTTCATTCTACTCATCCAGCCGCCCAGCCACAGCCAGCCAGAGGTCTCCTTCAAAGCATGGGGGCCCATCTGCCCCAGGGGCCCTGCAACCACTGACCTCGGGCTCTGCAGGGCCTCCTCAGCCAGGGAATGTGGCAGGGGCTGGGCCAGGCCCCAATGAGGGCTTCACAGAGAAGAATGTGCCTGGTGAGGTGGGGGCACTGGGCAGGGGGGGATGAATGGTATGGATTCATGTTGGGGTCCCCTTTCCTTGGCTTATCCCAATGTCCTATTTTCCCCACCTAGAAAGTTCCCCACATTCTCCCTGTGAGGGCCTCCCATCTGAGGCAGCTTTGACCCCAAGGGCGGAAGGGAAGGTTCCCAGCCGCCTGGCACTTGGCAGTCGTGGAGGCTACAATGGACGGGGTTGGGGCTCCCCAGGGCGGCCTAAGAAGAAACACACAGGTATGACAGCCTGTGGGATGACATGGAGGGAGGGATTTCCTGAAGTGTGAATTCTGTAACTTCTAGCTTCTGAGACTGATTTGTCTTGGGGAGTTAGGCATGGCCAGCATTGACAGCAGTGCCCCTGAAACAACATCGGATAGTTCCCCCACCTTAAGCCGGAGGCCACTTCGAGGGGGCTGGGCCCCCACCTCCTGGGGCCGAGGACAGGACAGTGACAGCATTAGCAGCTCTTCCTCGGACTCTCTGGGCTCCTCATCCTCCAGTGGAAGTCGCCGGGCCAGTGCCAGTGGAGGGGCCCGGGCAAAGACCGTTGAAGTTGGCAGGTCAGTGGAAGAAATACTCCTCTCATCTGGCCCACCCTCAGAGTCACATCCCTGGTGTAATCCAACTATTGTTCCCCCAGCGACACCACTTATCCTGCTCTTTCCTGCCTACCTGGACACCCATTTCAGAGAAACCCCAATCCCCGTCCCTACCCCATTGCCCCCTCAGGTACAAGGGCCGACGTCCCGAGAGTCATGCCCCCCATGTACCCAATCAGCCATCAGAGGCAGCTGCACACTTCTACTTCGAACTGGCGAAGACGGTGCTGATCAAGGCAGGGGGCAACAGCAGCACTTCCATTTTCACACATCCATCTTCCTCAGGGGGCCATCAGGGTCCTCACCGCAACCTGCACCTTTGCGCCTTCGAGATTGGGCTTTATGCCCTTGGCCTGCACAACTTTGTTTCTCCCAACTGGCTCTCACGTACTTATTCTTCGCACGTTTCCTGGATTACAGGTAAACCAAGTATCTTGATTTGGGAATGGGTTGGGGATTAATTGATAGAAATGAGAGTCTTATCCTTGTGGAGTTACTGATCTGATAGAAGACACCATACTAACCACCCCCCCCCCTTTTTTTTTTTCTCCTTTCCTTGAAGGTCAGGCAATGGAGATTGGTAGTGCAGCCCTGACTATACTGGTAGAATGCTGGGATGGACACCTGACGCCCCCTGAGGTTGCATCCCTGGCTGACAGGGCATCACGGGCACGAGACTCCAATATGGTGAGGGCAGCAGCGGAGTTAGCCCTAAGCTGCCTGCCTCATGCCCATGCATTGAACCCCAATGAGATCCAGCGGGCCCTGGTGCAGTGCAAGGAGCAGGTATATCTACAGGCAATCTGGGGACTTGCTTTCAGGTATCTAGGAAGGGACATGGGGAAAACTAACAGCCCAGCTCGATTTCCAAATCTTAAAGTTCACAAATTTTCTAGTTTGTGCTATTATGGTGACACTTGACATATTAATGCACTTTCACATCCATTACTTCTTTTGCCTTACGACTCTGAGGTTAGGATTATTCCTGTTTTATAGATAAGGAAATGGAGATCTATAGGTTAGGGACCAAGGTGGTCACCAGGTTGGAATACTTGGGGAAGGCCTTGGGGAGATGGTGGGAACTGGATGGGAGGGAGTGGCTAGGTTAGTTTGGAACTGGGACTGTAAGTAGTTTGGAACTGGTCACCAAGTGTTTGTTCAGTGTCTGTGTGAGGCATTCATTGCTCTGACTCTGACCTCTGATGCCTCCCTGGGAACCAGCCAACTCAGAGGAAGATGTTGGAATGTCATTTACAACCATGCCTGAGTAAAGCCCCTCCCCTTAACTTCTGTGCCCCTTCCTTCCAGGATAACCTGATGTTGGAGAAGGCCTGCATGGCAGTGGAAGAAGCGGCTAAGGGTGGGGGTGTATACCCTGAAGTGTTGTTTGAGGTTGCTCACCAGTGGTTCTGGCTATATGAGCAAACAGCAGGTGGCTCATCCACAGCCCGTGAAGGGGCTACAAGCTGTAGTGCCAGTGGGATCAGGGCAGCTGGGGAGGCTGGGCGGGGGCTGCCTGAGGGCAGGGGGGGCCCAGGCACTGAGCCGGTTACAGTGGCAGCAGCAGCAGTGACAGCAGCAGCCACAGTGGTGCCAGTCATCTCAGTGGGGTCCAGTTTATATCCAGGTCCAGGACTGGGGCATGGTCATTCCCCTGGCCTGCACCCCTACACTGCTCTACAGCCCCACCTGCCCTGCAGCCCTCAATACCTCACCCACCCAGCTCACCCTGCCCACCCAATGCCTCATATGCCCCGGCCTGCCGTCTTCCCTGTGCCCAGCTCTGCATACCCACAGGTGAGACCAGTGTTTTGTTGGGGGG